ATTACTACATTTTTCCTTCTTTCCTGTTATGCTCTTGGACTTTTCCTTAATGAGGTGCCTATGACCTAATCTCAATAAAAATTGTATAGAACTTTCTTCGAGAAAAATAAAATCTTCTCAGACAACTTCCCTGTAACAGTCTAAACCAACACAGTAGCCACAGCTCCTCACTACTTTAAATAGTTTTGTACCTTATTCAGCTGTGCCCTTAAATCCGTTACTTTGTGTACGTCTTTCACTATCTCCTCAAAATATCTGTAAAAGTTTTCTACAACAAGATAAAACTGGCATATTTTTCCCCTACTCTTTGCTAGGAGGGAACTGGTAAACTGTTGGGTTTATTTAGCTTTCCTTTTCCTTATCTGTAATCTTATATATGAGGAACAGTGAGCCTTATCTTGTGTTTTGTGACTTTTTGGCTGATTCTTGAAGGTGCAGTTTCACTAGCAACTGGTCTGTTCTAACAGTTCATTGCTACTGAAAATCATGTAACATACTTTCCCTCTCCCAGTGTCTCTTTCAACTACTCAATCCTGTCCCATTCCTTCTGATGGCTCAGATGCTTAGTGGACCCTTCATGGAACGGATTCAGCACATTAATTAAACAGAAAAAGTATCCACTTTCTTTCATTGGATTAATTGTCTGCAAGGTTCTGCCATGAACTGGCTTATGGAGAAGTCTAGTGGGTACCAGGACTGATGGAAGGTACACTCAGCAAGAGTGAAGAAGGCTGAAGCAGGCTTTCTCTCTGGCAACAGTGAGCTCAGTGTGTCCTGTGTGACTTCACCCTGGACCTATAGTTTGATGAGATGCAGGCTTTGATGACAGAGCTGACCCAGTACATCCCAGTTGTTCATGTGTCATAGAAGTTTGAGGGTTGCTTTAGTTTCAGGGTCGTTTTTTTGTCACGATAATTTCCAGTCACACAAACAGTTGTATTAGCAGAAGTGAGGGCATGAGGAACTGTGATGTGAAGGGTACAGGTAGGATCAACTCAAGAGAGCAGAGGAGGAACTTTGTGAACTCCGTCATGGAAGCCACAAAAAAAACCCAGCAAAAACCTGAGTTTTCCAGTCCTTAATTAAACATACCCCACTTTTCAGTTACTCACACAGACAGCTTTCTTCAGAAGTATCTTGACAAGTACTAATAGCAATAAAACTGTTGTAACCATCCTGAAACGGAAAATGGCCGAATCCTTTTACTCTATGCAATAAATGTGTAAGCTCTCTAATCAATCCTAAAGCTTCCTAAGACCAATGAAATGGGGAGGGTAGAAGAAAAAGTTGAAGAATTAAAGGAGAATACTGAAATTAATTTAGGCTTTTATATCAATTCAAAAGGAGCTTAAAGTTGGCCATTTCCAATATATTGCCCTCAACAGGTCACATCTAAAGAGTCTGCCCTTTTCAACACAACTGCATTTGCTTGCCTTTCATGTGCATATGAGAGAGCCAGCTTTTTGTTGCCGTTTGTAAGGAAGTGTTAGAATAGATAGTGATTAACTCTGGCCCTGGGGTATAGCTGGTTTCTCTTTTGTCCCAGCAGAGACACTGCAGAGAGGATACAGAAGGTGCTGGACAGTCCAGGAACTTTCTTTGACCTGAAGTCTGATGGATCATCCAGTCCCAGCTCCCCAGAGTTTCCCAGCAGGAAGAGCAAGTGAGTCAAAAATAATTTTAATGTTTGAAAGATGCTCGCTGCGTCTGGTATTGGCTTAAGTGTGGTGCATGTCTTGCTCTGTTGGAGGCTTTACTGAGATTGTCCACATCAGGCATTGCAGCATCTTAAAAGTTAGATATCTGGCCATGGCACAGTAATTCAGAGTGTGTAAGTAATGAACTCAGCTTTCTTAAACAGCCAGTGAAGAAAGACTGGACCACTTAAAGGTGATTTTGGCTATATCTTTACTGTAATGTTAGCTTGCATCCAAAAAGGTACACGAAACCCTCGCTGTCCAATTATCCATGCTTACCCATGTATATGTTTCCTCTATATTTTGCTCTGGAGTGATTTTTGGAGCTTCATGGAGAAGCTTGGACAAGGATATGTTGGGTTGTACTCAGGTTCTGCCCCTTTAAGCAGGATTCATGCTGCTGCTCCAAATCAAAGTGAACTAGCCTGTCTTCAGTCCTCCCAGAGTGTTAACAGCAAGCATTACAGCAGGGTCTCATGTGTTGCACCTATATTTCATTGCTAAACCATGCCATACCACACCCAGTGTTCTGCTGCAAAACACTTCATGCGGTAGTCCACAAAATAGTTCTCTGGTTTCTGGTGGTCTAAACCTGGAAAAATGCACTTTCCTGGTAGCGCAGCTTTGCTGTTGCTAAGCTGTATAATGCTGGGATGTGATCCTATCTAGGATACTTCAGGACTTCATGGAAACCACATATTTACACTTCCAAGGCTCCAGAGCAGCCTGTCTCTAAATCCCAGACTGCAGCTCACTTTCTGGAACAACTTGCCACACCTGATTTTTTTTCATGAGAACTTGTGGCAAAAAGGGCACTGAGTACTTTGTAGTAGGACCTGTCCATTTCTCAGAAAATTCAGGAGGTGCCCTAGAACCAGACCTCTATGGTTGTAGTTGCTCCAGGTGCCAAGTCTGACAAGGAAGGGCCTGCCTTCCTACTAGATCCAATGCTCCCTAAGAATTACAGGCTGGTGATTATCTGCAGTATTACCCAATTGTATGCTGTAGGACTGCCCAGAATTTTGTCACAGCCAAGGTGCAGAGTTCTGGTAAGTATGTTTTTGTGACACCAATTTTTAGGTTGGGTGAGTGTCCAAAACTTTGGTGGGGAGGAGGATAGGAACACAGCTAGGAGATACAGACCATTTAAGATGCTAGCTCTGGCAGCCAAGGACAAGAGAGAGTGCAGGAAATGGAACTGCTGATCGGTAAGCAACTCCCATCTTCCAGCATTACCACATCATTCCACCTCTCCTTCTTCATCCTGCCTGGGACCTTGTTAGTGAACTAGACGTTCCTGGCTAGGCACGTGTGAGGGACTTTTGTTCTGATTAGTTAGCTAAAGTAACCTTGCATAATCAGCAAGAATTCTGCCTAGTAAGAAAACATCTCATAGCTCAGCTAGTCCTGGTTACTCCACTGTAGAATGTGTGCATGTCCTGGAAAAAAATTATGAAGCTTTCTTGACATCTGTTCCTGATTTCTGCATTTGATTGTGGGCTTCTCCCACTTCCCAACCTCCATTCTCCATTCATCAGCTGAGGAGGTGAGCCAGCTGCAATGGCTGTTTCAAATTGGCATCACATGCTTTCAGAGAGCAAACATAGCATGGGATTTCACTGACTTGCATGAATATTGTTTATGCACATGAGGCATGACCTGTATGATTTGGCAGTCTGTCTGCTTCTGTCCCCAGGATTCTCTCTATGCATCTTTTTCCAGTCATGGACTCAAAACCACTTGTATGATCGCCAGAAAAAGTCTTCACAGTTGTGGTGGTTTAGCCCGTTCCTGGACAGTTTGTTTACGAGGTGGGATGTAGCATGGAGTTTTGCACAACTGGTGATTAACTAGAGTTGGAGTTGTGATTTTAGAGTTAGGGACCAGCCCACATGCAGGGAATCAAGGACTTGTAATTCCACCATGTAAAGCACACCATTTTCACCAAGACAGTTACTAGCACAGTATTGCAGGAACAGGCTAGGAGTGTAATTCTAACAGTCTGTCTCAGAGACAGTTCTACTGAAGTTCTACTGAAATAGTCTGTTTATTGTTCATTAGTTGTGGAAGCACAAATCAGGATCATGATATAGCCATATTTCTAATGCAAAAAGAGTTCCAGCTGGTTCTTGAGTAATTTACACAGCCCATGTTAAAAATGTTATCCCTGGTAGTATGTCATCAATCCACTCCTGGTTCTTGCCAGGGAGTAGCATTGCAGGAAATTTCTCAATTGCAAAAATGTCCAGCATGTTGCTGCTGGTCTTAAATAATCATTTCAGATTCCAGACTTGAATGATCAAATTCTTCCATCTATGTTCTACTAAAACCAACCTGGAAATAAAATGCAAAGGGAACACATAAATAATAGATTAATTCTTTTCCAGTGGAGACAAACCAGCACTTACTTTCTGTCCTTGCATGTTGATTTCCAACACACCCTTCTGCAGTGATCACCCTGCAATCCATCAAACCACAGTGTTCACTTGGACTAACAGTGTCTTCTCTCCCACATGCAGGGGCAATTGTCCTTAGTTTTTCTGCTCTACTGTCCAGGTAGCCTTCCAAGTAATCCTTCTTCCCAAGGAATAGACTCAAAAGAATGAAGCCAGCCTAAGTAATCAGGTAGCAAAACTCAGGATCAGATGGCTTTCTGGGTTGCATCTGAAAAATCAAGCACTGTACTGTGTATGTCCAAATCGTAGGGAAAATACATGGGGTTTTTGTGTGTGTGTTTTCCCTCCTCAGACACATCTGAGTGGGGACATCAAGCCAATCAGGACTGGACCGGATGCTACTCAGTCATTGGTTACCTCACTGAAGATACTGGCAAGACTTTTGGGGTGAAATGAGAGTCCTGGCTAAAAGGAGCATGAACTTAGAGGACCTCAAGGACTGTGGAGAGACCAAGTGGTACCAAGTAATGCTCCACTGGCAGATTTTGGAGCAGGAATCCTGGGAAAGGGAGTTGGACAGATAGCTCCTATTGGAGCATTTTGGCTCTATGCCCTTCCCATTGCCCAATCAGCAGTCACTGAACCAGCCTCTACTAATGATGGGGAAAGGAGGCCACCTTGAGTGCCTCCCTTTCTCTTCCCCTGCCCTCAGATGAGTGAGAAGAGAACAGCATGGCCTGCAGAAGGCAAGAGCAGAAGAACATGTTTCCACCTCTGTCTCTAGTGCCTTTGGAAGACATAGGTCAGGAAGCACAGTGCAGAGAATGAGGATGGAGAAACCTGCTGAGGAAGGATGCTGAGAAGGAGATACTTTGTGGAAATCTAGGTCCCAGCTAACTTAAATAACATTATTGATTTGCTCTGCCAAGGGAGAAGCATGTTGGTCTTCATTTCCTCCAAAATATATTTCCTAATCTCCTGAGGAAATACCTTTTGGCCTATATTGGCCCTGTCTTTACTGTTCTCCCTGTTGCATGCTGGCATGTAATATGCCTGGGACTTTAGGTTTCATTACTGCTTGTAGGTCAAGACTGGCCACATTTTGCAGTGTTTCTGAAGGAATAAATATATTTAGTATGTTAAAGGTGTCTTATCTTTCTTGCCTCTCTTAGCTTTTTTGGGTTTCTTAACATTTTTAAGCACTTCTTTCTTATTGGCTGGTCTCTTGTGCCGGCAGTGAGTATTTCACCATAAACGTTAGGCTTATGTGCACAGTACACCTTCCACCATGTAAGCTTATCAGCCTCATGGACTGCTCTTTCTCCTACCGCGGATCCCAAATTCTGAGCTGGGAGAACTGACCTTAAGGGTCTTTCTTGAGAGATATGAAACATGTGCCAGGCTACCTCAGTGTCTGTGACATTTGAGGGAGTGGTGGTGAAGTGATCCAATACAGTTTGCTTTGAAAGTTTCCTTTGTAATGATGTGAGAGCTAAAAGTCTAGTGGGATGGACCTACAGGAGCCTGTCTACTGGCAACTGGGCACATGCAAAATCACTAGGATGGGCATCCTGACCTAGGTATCTTGCTATCTGTAAGCAGGAGGAGGGTTCTGACCTGTATGTGCAAGAGCTTGGCACTTGATCCTAAATAGTTCGTCACTGAGACATCCTACAATGATGCAGATCTCAGTAATTTGTTTCTTACTCCCCATTGCTTCCTTAAACTTTCTTAGTTAACCATTGTATAATACTAGTTAACATCTATATGCTTTCCTGACTACTGTTGTTACAACTGTCCAGAAACACAGCGGTAACAGTTGATAAGCTCTATGACATGAAAAATGTGCTTTTATAGTCCCCTTGTACTGTCTGTAATTTCACATAAGACCAAACAAGGTAGGCTGAGAGCGGCTGTGGGAAAGGGTGGCTTAGGGTGGGTAGTGCCTTCCCTTTATACTCAGTTTAACACCTCATCATGTTCTATTTAGGATCCTAAAATCTCTGATCTCCAAAATGAAGGCATCTGTTTATTTTAATGAATGTCTAGAGGTAAACACTGCTTAAATGCAGGTCGTTTGACTCACTCTGTTTTAAGACGCTGAGGTCTGTGACTTGAAAGTTCAATTAGTCTTGTCCATTCATACAGTTATCCAGAATGGAAACAAGAAGTGGTGTTTCTACTTAAATGAAGAAGCAATTAGAAATTAAGGAATGCAAGCCAGTTTATCTGAATTCTATTTCTAGGTGGAAAAACTAGCTGTGGATGAATAATTTCTTCTTATGTTGAATGCTTGCATTTCACAGAATGCTCAGGAGTCAGACTTCAGGATACTGTGTGATGCAGCCATTCCCATGTTCCTCATCCAGTGTAAGCAGTTGTTGTAACGGTTTGAGGGAAAATGAAACATCTGAGGAAGAGGAGAATGACAGGGTGGGTGTATGATCTCTAAAAAACAGAGGCTAGCCTCCCTGATTTTACCAAGTGCATTATTAAAAGACATCTTCTTTGCCCTCTCCAGGAGCTGATGTGCTCTCTTGAGGGCCCTGCAAAACAGGATTCAATGGTTCAGAGTATGTGGCTGGATGACAGTGACTGCACACCCAGTACTTCCAGCTCACCAGGTAAAAAAGAAAGGAAAAAAAAAATCCTCTACTTATGCTTCTAGAAGCATATAAGAGGTTGAGCCACATTTGTTTGGCAAAATCTTTTGTATGCTATACTTAAGATTTGAGAAACTTAGGTAGAAGATAGGCTCAGAGAAATAAGGAGAGAAGGTAGCATGCAAACTTTAATGGGGAGAGAATGGGACGGGAAGTGTGTTTCAGCAACATGAATAAATAGTGCTGTACATACTGCAGGAGTTACTGTAGACTGCAAAGAATTAATGTGTTTATGTGTTTCCGTGGAGAGCATGTCGTTGCTTGTCTAAATGCAGTGCCCATACCGCTTTATAAACTAGATAGTTTGGATATGGGAATTACAGAAAACAGTGCTTCCTGAACAAAGCACTATGCTTCTGAGAAGGTGGGTAATCAGGTAGCTAACCTGCACTAAGCTTTTTGACTGCAAGGCTTGGCTCTTAGCGTAGTACTTGATTGAAGTTGAAGTAGTTGATTAAAGTCAGCTTGGATCTACTCACAGTGCATAAAGTATTATAGTCAATAGAAGTTTTCTTTAGTCCCATAGCAGGCAGAACTATTGCAGTAAGACTAAGCTTTTGAGATTGGGAAGTCATTGAGAACTGTGCAAGGCAAAACTTAACATTTGTTGTTAAAAGGTTCTGGAATAGGAGCAGGTTGAGATGGATGGTAAGAAATACTGGGTATTATGTGGAAAGCAAGGAAGAGAGTTGGTTGGAAGGAACAGTGAAACCCTTATAGGAATTGTATGAAAGGGGATTGTTGAAAAGATTACAAGGGTCAGAAAGTGGAGCCAGTTTACTTTGAAGAGAGTTAGGTCTCTAAATCTCTGCAGCAGCTCTGCATCAAGAGTGGCCACCAGATCCATGCTTAAAATTGCCTGTATCTTAGCAATAGCAATGGAGATGTCATACTGTGAGATGTTCTGAAGAGACCCCTGTTCTGTGAGATGTTCTGAAAGATTTCTCCACTTCTGCAGAATAACTCACAGCATGAGTGCTTGTATGCTTAGAGGCACAAGAGAACCCAAGGGGCTGGTATTGAAACTCTGGAACAACAGGAAAAACAAGTGGAGTTGTCGATCATGCAGTGGAAGAAGAGAGCCATGCCACGTGATATAATTAGGAAGTGGGATGCTATATACAGAGCTTGCCTGTCCTGAGGGAGAGACATAAAGGTGTTAAATGTGGTGATATGAAAAACTAGCATGCCAGCAACGTTCACAGCAGAAGACAGCTAATGAGCTGCTATTAAGAGGCAGAGGTTGGAAATGAGCTTCTGTAGATCTTTGTGTTGAGGGCTAGGAAGAAAGAGTTCAGTGTTATCATCTCAGAGCAAAAGTGATAAATAAATACTATAAGGCCAGGAAGCCCAGCACCATGAAATTGTCTCTTTTTGAAGGGATCTGGAAATGACACCATAAAGGCAATAGTTTGCTTTGTGCCTGGTGGTGTGAAGGTTTTCACTGTATCCCCATGGCATTGTTGAGGCTACCATTTCCACAGGTTTGGGATTATCCTGAGAAGGCCACAGCTCCTCTCACAAATGTTTGAGCTGTATATACACTCCTGTTGCCTTTGTGGCACCACACTGAGACCAAGCAGGGGTGCAAAATGGTTCCCTGTCAAAAGTGAACGAACAGCTTGTGTTTACTTGTGATCAGAAATACTAATGGGAGCAGAAAATTAGTGTAAATGCAAACTAGGTTGTTTTGCTTGAGTGTCAGAAATTGACTATTGTCATCAAGTAAAAGATTTCGCATTCCTTTTGACCTTGTGAGTAACTGCAGTTCTCCTTGCCCTCCGATTCTCCGAGAGCACTCCCAGGCACAGACATAATGCAGTGCTGGTTTTAATAGTGCTATTACACCTCCCCTGCCATGGCCTATAGTTTAATCCAAGTGTGATCTTTCTACAAATCCATTTATCACTCGCATCTACCTACATAAAGCCCAATGGAAGTGATCCACTATAAATTTTTATTATATTGGCTTGAGTTCTCTATCCTTTATCGCTCTACTCATTTGCCAGAAAGTCCCACTGGATCCTGGAGTTATAGCTGAGCTATAAAAGTTCAGATCCAGATCCAACTAGGTTGATGGTACAGGCCAGCTCGCTCTGAGCTCCCAGCTTGCCACCTTGGGGAAAAGCTGCTGACTCAATATACTCTCCAGTAGGAGTGCTAGGTTATTCAGCCTAGCTGTTGCCCTTTTGTTATGGATATTGGAAGTAGGGATGCTTTCCAGTGGCCTCTGCTGCTTTTCCCAGATACATTCCCTATCTGCTGACTCCGTATTGTCCCACAGGTATACACATCATTAATATACATCACTGAGAATAATCATTACAGAGAATGTGAAGTAAAGTTCAACGTAATTCTCAAGATTTTATACACTCCATTGTCAATGGCAGTGATCTGATACTGGCACTGCAAAACTTTCACTGTGTTTCTCAGTGGCTTGGCATGGTAAGACAGCTGCACTCTGCAGGAGTGGTGATTTTTTGCTGTACCATATCTACTCTTACATCTTCAGTGCAGAGATTTAAAAAAAAAAAAGTAAAGTATATAAAGGTACACCAACAAACATGCAGGTTTGGATAGGGATTCTGATTTATGCCAGGAGAGCCATAGTTAAAAGGGATAAACATAGTGGATACTTTTCTGACTAGTTGAAATCAACTCACCTAATCAGGAGACTGTAGTCTTGAGTGCCATTGTTGATTGCAGTAAGAAAGCTTGATGATGTCACCATCCACACCATGTGGAATGTGTTTGTGGTAATAGATGAAGGGGCAGAGAGGAAGGAAATAAAAGGTTATGTGTGTGTGAGGCACATGAGGTAGCAGAGTTGAGTCTGCATTTTCTAAGCACAAAGTAAAATCTTGTCCTTAGGAATTTGAAAGATTTTTAAATTTTATTTTCCAGAAATTCTGACAGTTCTTGAGCTAGAAAAAGATAGGATTAAGAGCAATTTGTTGTGCTAAAAAATTTAGGGAAAAAACCCAGGGATGATTGATGTATTTATTTTAATTTTTGCAAAGACTAACAAGTTTTCTATTTATGTACTACATCCAGTCCTGATAGAAGACTGTTTACCAAAAGATCAAGTGTGGCAATACATGTTAATATTGCTAGACAAAATTACATTTAAATGAATTTTGATAATTTGGGTTAATCTATGCAACAGGGAAGTACTGTAATTATCCATAACCAAGCATAATAAACTGAAGAAATGCCAGAGTTAAGCTAAACTGAAAGCAAAGAAAACACTTTGGGACACAGAGAGGCATCCAGGTGTTTGAATTTTGCCCTTTAGTGAGTTATACAATAACTACTCAGCCACAGTTAATATACTGTGTAAAATCAGACTGAACTGATTTTTTATAAAGAAACCTAAGACATTTTGCATACCCACTGTAAGTCTGGATCTTACGCTGAATGATTCTAGAATTCCTAACCCATGTACACATTCTTGGATTCTCCAATTTGCCATTCAGATTGAGAGCGCAAAGTTGCGGAAAAGAAAAAAAAAATAAATAGCAGTAGTCTGTGGTATTATGCTGTCAGAGCTAGATAGAGACATAGAGAACTACCATTGCCAAAACTGCTATTTTCTGAGTTGGCTTTAAAGCAGCACGTCTCATATGCCAGTCTGTATCACATGAGGCAGGGGTGACTTTCCCCCTAGGCTCAAGGCCAGTATCTAAATTCAGCTATAACCCTCCTTAATACTTTAAGATACTTCTACGTTAGTTAATACACACAGTTGTTTTAGATGTGTTTTTATTCAGTTTCTTGGTCTATTAGTCACTACCTACAAACATCATAATCAAATTTCAAAGTACTGGAGCTGGGATGTATATACAAAATGGAGAACCACCCTGGTACTGCAAACTCATGTTGTTTAAAGCCACAGTTTAGCAACAAACGGCAGTGATTACCAGTTTTGGTTTTAAACCTCAGAGTTTTAAATTACATCATGAAACTGGGAAGGGTGATAGTCTACCTTTGAAAAACTGCTGAAACACAGTTGCATTTTATCTGTTCCCTAGAAAATATTGGTATGATCATGTATAGTGCAAAAATAAAATGTTCCTGTGAAGAACATCTTGGCTTACCATCTTATTGCAGGAATCCCTCATTAGCTGAATTTTGCAGCTCTCCTAACTGTCCTGATTGAATAGTGGATACCTATGCCATCAAAGTGATTCATCTGCTCCCTCTGCCCCCTTAGCACACTCCATACTCACATGAGCTCTTTAATTCAAACTCTTCCCCTTTTCCTTTGATTCAAAGAAGAGTTATAATACAAATTTACTGTTGTAATACAGCTATGCATAAACTCACATAAACTATACTGTTTGTGAAATTATGATATTTGATAATTTTAAAACATGCTTAGCACGTAGGATGGAGGGCCACTAAGAATAAATTAGAATGGTGTAAGAGAGCTGTTACATTAAAGACATCATACTCATTTCTTGTGAAATGTGTATGGTGAGTATAAGATGATTGCAGAAAGCAAAAAACTGTTAAGTTTGTGAATTTTGCAAAGTATTTAATCCCTGGTTTTGCCATGGTTTTGATATGTGATGATAGGTAAATTGCTTAAACCCAGAGGTCAGATGTGGGAATCTGAAGGGAGGGGGCAGAGGGAGGAGAAGGATGAGAAACACTGTGAGAGCCTAAGATTAGACTCTGCTTCACAAAGTGTATCCTTAAGGATAAGGCTTTCAGGTTGCACAGATGCATACAGTAACGGCATTTCTTAGCTTGACTGCGTGAGTCTGTCACCTACTGGAACCTGTTGTATTATTTTAAACTATTTTTTGTGTATAACAGTAGACTGATATAGACACTGAAAATGAGACTGACGGAAACATCTGGGAAAGTTGCAGAATGCCTTCATTACTCATTCAATAGCTAGAGACATAGCTTCTTTAGGCAAGAAGCTATAGCCAGAACAGCTATGGCATTGAAACAGTCTGGAACCAGTGGCCAATGATTTTTTTGAATGAAATGAAAGCCAAGTCATCACTTTCCTTGTTTCAAGCTGGAATGAGAAATAGGTCAAGGTAACATTAGTCAAGTTGGGTGTAGACACATTCCTTTCACTCCTACCTATGGATGAGCGACAGATCTGTGAAAAGTTTGGGGTAAAGCCAGCTATGTGTGCAGCTCCTGGGATACCATCTTGATTATTTCTTTGTTGTTCTGTGCTTGGTTCCTTTCTAGGAAGCAGGTTGCTTCCTTCCAGCAGTGTTGCTGGCTCCACTGGAAAAGGAAAAGGCAGCAAAGCAGATGCTCAGCACCATAATTCAGTAAGTGCTTTAATAAAATCTTTCCTTCTCACTTGCACAGAGATAATGATGGGAGAAAAGAGAGAGACTTAATTTAGGAGCCTCTGCTTGCTGAGGGTTGAAAGGACAATAAGAAGGTCCTTGCAGGGGAAGGTTAAAGAACTGCGTTGTTCTGCAGGCCTCCATTTTGTGCTGTGTGTGACGTCACCGCTGGAGGACTGTCTTCGTGCACACTGGGTGAGGAGCACAGGTAACAGACATGGATAAGCACTGTAGGCCTGTGGTTCAGGGTGGAGTCAGGCCCTTGGGCCATCCCTGGCCTCACTGAAAGAGTGCAGCAAGTACTGTATGGCTTCGCAGTAAATGGAGTTAATCCTGTAACTTCTTCCTCAAATGATCTTCCATGGTGAGCTGCCTTTGGCCTGTTTAATGTATGTAAGCTCTGCCTTTCTTGGTTGCCTACTTCCTCTCAGGGAACAGCATTTCCCATTGAGACACCTCTCTCTGCCTTAATCTATGCTCAGTTTTATTCTTTTTCTTTCATTGTTTGGTTTCCTTTGCTCAGATGCAAACTAGCTTTCTTTGCACCTATCCTTTGCTTCCTCTGGTTTCATTATTTTACTGAATCACTTTCTTTTGCACATTTTGTGACTTTTCTGCCTATCTCTATGTTTGCTTGTTTGCTTTCAGCCTAGCATTGGTGGGACCTACTTCTCCATGCCAGTTTCACAGCTTTTCCAGACATGGGAAGTGGGACTGGATCTGGTGAGGTCTGTAATAGAGCAAAGGGGAACACAACTCCATGTTTGTTCCCTACAGTTGATAGTCCGGTTTTGCCTGTGTCACTGAGAGTCTCTCACTTGGCTCAAAGTCCTTTTCCTTGCCCACTATCTTCTCTGGCTTGACAGCTAAACAGCATGTTACCTTGAAAGTGATGTGGATGTGAGGCTATCGGGAACTAGTTTGGTATACAGCTGTGTAGAAGACGTATCATCTTTATGGAAGAAAATTCTTCCAGCTATTCCTAAATAACTGAGTTCTTATTACTGCTTAGCATCTACCCCCGTGCCTGGTAAAAAGACACATCCGTTTAGATCCTTAGTGTTTTTTCAGTGCTCAGCTTTTAGCTGCCCTGCCACCTGGTGGCCTTCAGACCAGTCAGATAAACGGTTCAACTCCCTGCACTGGTGTCCATTGGTTTTGCAGCAGACTGACATTTACAGACAGCAGATCCGAAAAAGAAGCCAAGTAAAGAAGCTGGTACTCAACACTGAGACTACGTAAATACATGCTACACCGAAGATAAGTACTGAGAATGACAGTGTAGCTACCAGCCAGTGTTCACTGGAGTAATCACCAGAGTCTCTGCCAAGAGCTTCTGTTCACAATCAATCAGCTGTCTGGAACACAGGAGTAAGGTTGCCTAAACAAGAGGCAGAACTTCCTCAAAGCTCTGCTCTCAAAAGGCAAATTTTGCTTGAAGTAGGTATACAGAATTGCACCAATATGCATACTTACTGATAAAAATGCAAAGGCTGTAACCATTTACCTATTGGTTATCACAGGCAATAAGCAATGGAAGGAAAATCCTGAGGTTGGATTTTGCTTATCTCAATAGTGTTTAAGTGCTATTTTAGTACCTAAGGCTTTGAGCATTTAATTTCCACTGATTTCAAATAGGTCTAAGGGCCTTTAAGATCATTTGGGATTTGTAGCAGTCTGTAAGATCCATCTCATTTGGTCCATCTGCCAATCAACATTCTGTCACAAAGGCCGTTTTCTTTTTTCAGTCAAGCTGGTTCAAAGGACAAAGATTCATTAGACCATGGCTTTCACCATGAGATTATTTCCAGATGTTCCTTACATTCTCCCCACCTTCCCACCAGAGTTCATTACCTCTGCAAAAGTGCATTTTACCCATTTCTCAGACAGCACTGCCTATGGCAATGGCCCCACCTCACTGGGGTGATCTGGCTTAGAGTGATGTTTCAGTCATTCCATTTTTATCACAACCTCAGAATCAGTTTGATAGCACAGACTGGAGGCTAGCAAATTTCAGGGGGGGGAATAGTAAAAAAATTCTTTAGCATGGCTTCAAGGGACTCAAAGAAATCTATGGCAAACATGTACATGATAATTTCCCTGTCATTCTAACTCCTTAATTAATGTTGCCTCTTATATCTCACAAAGATTTCCTTAAATTCCAGGCTGGATTTGCCCAAAGACTAGTGGGTGCACTGGTGCAAAGGAAGAGTTTTCAAATTATAGGATATTTCCTGAAGATCAGAAAGAGGTATAAGAAGGAAAAACTGTGGATGGGGGAACAAATAATACTCCCACAACACTTACGGCTCTAAGAATATGAAGGATACAGATTTTTTTCTGATGCTTTGTCACAGGATTTGGTGTCCAAATAAACAAGATGAATATGCTTTGCCTTAAAGTTCAGAAAGAGACAAAAAAATGGAATTCCAGCTGCTGCTAGTTCTTCTGCCTCCTTCAGTGATGCATCAGAGACAGACAGGAATCATTGAGAAATTAAGCCTCATATAAATGAAATTAATTCAAGTGTGTTACTCCAATTCATCCAATACAGGGCCAGGTTCAAACTATTTCAGTGTGAAATGTCTTAATTTTATTGTTTGATTATCTTTCTCTCTGCAGACTGTATGATGGGAAGTCCCTCCCAGCTGTATCCAAACCACCTCTGGATAGGCAGCCATTAGGCCATCCTTAGGGAAGCAAAACACAGTCTGGTTGTTACCAACTAAACTTACATGGTATTCACCACTGTCCTCCAAAGACATTACTGTAAAACTGGCATTAATTAAAAACCTCTGCAAGGTCTGGGGTTGGTGTCCGAGAATGCATGTCTGTGGTGGGCTCCTCAAGTGTCAGTCACTGCAGAGCAAGGTGCATAAAATACTGTCCAGGAGGGGGACGTTCCTTTTGAAATACTTGATTGGTTCCCTAGATTTTAATTTGGGCTTGAGTCGTCCCTCTCTCTCTTCCACTCTTCTTTCTTGTGTCCCCTCCAGTTTCCATGCTGGAGAGTAAAAGGAAGCATGAATACCTTGTCCTATGCTTCTAGTGTCTGTGTAGTACCTTGGACTTAAAATAAAAGGAGAATGTGGCCAGCTTCTCTTAGGCTGTATGTGTGTGTATTTCTAAAGGACAAGCAGGAAGATACAAGAAATCCATAGATCGCAGTCCCGTAACAATTTAATCCTCATGCTTTTAGGATAAGAGGAAGAGAACTAATCAGGAAAGAAGAATATTTAATCTCAAACAAGTTAAATATTTTATGTTTCATCTTTAATGTTAATCATTAATCTGTTGAAAGAAAAGAAGCAAATTTGTATTGGTAAAGACCTCACCAGACTGGCAATACTGGCAAACCTTGAACTTCTTTGTAATTATAAAGACGAGACTGAGCTGTAAAGTTAGCTGTTAAGGATGAGAAAGCCATCTCTCCATAAAATTTGATACATTCAGATAATCACTGAAGATTGCCCACGTACATATATATTTTCATTCCCATGTATTTCCCTAGGACTTTTCACATCTTGGGGCTTGGAACTGATGGAACTGGTCCCAGCCATTTTTCACCTGCAAGACAAACCAGCACAAAAGAGAGAAAGTTATAATTTGATACATAGAAGTGACTGGCCAGTCACATTTCTGCAGTAGGATTACTGTTGCTACTCCTCTTTTGAAAGGTAATCACTGATGATGGAATACAGATTTTTATCTTGTTCGGCATTGCTTCAGCCAGCTCCATAGATCCTTCACTGTCTATTCACAACTGAAGCTGTACAGAAGAATTATTTTCCTCTGTCACAGATGAGAGATTCTGCAGGTCTGGAGCACTCTGCGTGAGGGTGAAGCGAATTCTTTTTAGGACTCCTTTTTTGAGGGGCTGGGGGTAAGGAAGAGAAAAAGGGTGGAAGGCTGGGGACTCAGAGAAACAAAAGGAAAATCTGTGGAGGACCTTGGAGTTGAGACTAGAAACCAGGCCATAACATTCCAACTAGGATCACTGTCTATCACAGTGGGTGTTGAGTATTCATCTTTCTTACTCTCATTTTCATCAAGAATATTTTTATATAATCAGAAACCCATCCAGAAAAGAAAACAGACCTCAAAAAAATCCCTTCATTGCCTTCTGTTTAAACCTATAACTAATTTTATTTTACATTAATTATGATTTTCTGATTAATTTTTTCAACAAGTGCATCAGAGCTAATTATGTGCATAACTCTTTCCAGTGACAAACTCAAGTGCCAAATCTTAAGATCAATAGTCAAATGCCCTCTACCTCATGTAAAAGCAGGTGATTGAGTGTTATCACAACCTATTTCAATTCTCTTTTAAAATTTAAAGTTCATATTCTATTAATAGAAAAATGAAAAGGAGGATGATCAATATACGAGTATCTATTAAAAAGTTGTGTAGTTAGGTTATGGATTGGGGAACTGTGATAATATGCTTTTTGTTAAGAAGGAACAGATACAAAATAAGAATGTTAAAGCTATTAAAAAAAGCAGTATCATCTGTAGTCTTAATCTTAGCCAAGACCTAATCCCCAGTACCAAAAGGTTAAATATGAACACTTTTAAAACTTAAGGGTTTCAGTAGTAATTTGAGAATGGCATGTGAAGCACAAAGCCTTGAAATGTACCGAGAGAGAATGGAGAACTCAAGTTACTTCTTGTTTGGAAAAGGACTACATCTTTGGTCACTCTAACTGTACTGAGATACGTTCCAGTCAGCAGTTTCATCCCATGAGAAGGACACCCAACATTATTTAATATTTGAAAGACCTTAAAAGTGTTTTATTTAGCTGTATTACATATGTCATTAAAAAAGGGTGAAAGTGATGTTATTAGGTACTCACCTATAACGCTGCCTAGCAGCTCTAAACGATCAGAGCCAAAAAAGAGATGAGGTTCCCCATTAAAATGTGCCACAACAGCAGGCATCCCAAATGCCTGTTGACACCATGGAGATGAAACAAGAGAATGTTATGAGAGAAATTTTTGCAGACACATGATCAATCTTCAGGAATAAAATAACTTTGACTTTTTTCCTCCCCTTCTTTTCACCTTCTTAATTCTTAAAGGTGAGTCTAATGTAGCCATCAGAAAGTAGGAGACTCTCCAGAGCCTGTGTGCCCCTTTGAAGCAGCAAAAAAAGCAACCTGAAAAGTCCATAGTTTTATGTCAAGTAGCGATAAATGGTACTGGTCCTGTACCTCCCTATCCTTGTTGTCCAGCTGAAGTGAGATGAATGCCTCAACCTTGGTTTCCCAGATGACAATGAGATAAACTACCACCAACAGTGAGTTAGCTTTCACATGCTCAAAAAGCAAAGATCACCTAAGAGAGATGGTCTACACAATGCTTTCTAATCATCACCTTCATTGTTCCTTGCTTCCCAGTATTATTAATAGGGAAGGAATCCACAGCTGTGATGCCAAATGGCATTGGAAGCATCTCACCCCGTATTTTATTGCTTCCTCTGTTGTCTCTTTCAGTCGGTTCTTCACTGCAGGGGATGAAATCATTTCAAGTAGCTTCTGGGCAAGCTCTGAAGATAGCCCAGCCTGTCTGGCAACCTGACAAAAGATGATATAATTAAGAGTACTCTAATACTAAATATTCTCATTCCTACTATGGTCTCATTAATTTAATCTTCAGTATTATCACCCAAGGTCTGTTACCAAAAAAATGACAAAAATACCCTGCAAGCACTTCTTGCACAACTATCTTGCTGTATTCCTAACCCATTTAGCATTTATCAACTCTCAGATACAAAGTAGAAATGATATTTTAAACTTCCAAGCCCCAAATCTGCATTTTTTTCAGAAATTCCTAAACAGAAAAAAGAAAGACTAAACATAAATACTAAGTTTATCCTCTGATCCAATGACATAGCAGATAACTTACCCACCCCCACCCCCAAAAAGTTGTCCTGAGAAAGAAAATCTGTACAAGCCTGCCAAGACAAAAACAGTTTCTGTGACACTTGTGTCCACATAGGATCAGTAAGTGATATTGCATGAAAGAGACTGTAACTCACAGAGGCTGAACAGTTGCTAGTATTTTGCTGCATCTTTTTAGCCTCCTCTGTGCCTCTGCCACATGGGAATGCGGTAAGTGGCCACAGGTAAAGGTCCAATGTTTATTGGGTAACATCAAAGTTACAAGTACATACTTTAATAAAGTATTTCACAAAAAATGATCACTTCCATGCCATCTACCCAAATGACATGCTTTTTTTTTTTTAGTTTAAAAAAAGTAAAAATTGCTTACAGTACTGCACATGGACCAGTAATCCTGCACATGCAGGTGTTAATGAGTTTTGGTTTTTTGTTTTCTTTCTCTCAATCACTTTTTCATTTAGCATCCACATTTTCTTGTACCTTCTTTTACTTCCACATCAGTGAGATTAGCTCTTTTTGACTCTACTTGAACAGGAGATAAACAAGTGTAACACTGGCATAGAACTAAATGCTGTGTATACTTGGTAGCCAGACTGTCAGAGATGTACTATCTGGTCCTCACCATTTTAGGGGAGAAGGGGTATTTAAGTGGACTGTGGCAGGATTCAAAGACTATACATTGCTTCTATAGTCATTTATGTGGAGTTACTGCTGACTAAAAAAAGTAAAAAAATACTAAGGAACTGTATCAAGTAAAAAACATTCAATTTTTCGAACTTATGTGTAAAATAAATTCACCTACAAAGACTCAGATGAAAGGGTTGGGACCCCTCACCCACCTTTGGATGGCATATTTCCAGAAAAGAGGAAAGTCTAGTACTTGCTAATACCTGTATGAAGACATACACAATCAAACAAGGAGATGCCTACCTCTTTGCCTTGCTGAACTTATGGGGATACTCACAGACAGCCAAACAGTGACTAAATTGCAGAGAGATCTTTTTGATTATGAAGTTTGTTTCTCTGAAGTTCTGCATGTCCTTGCTTTATCTTTATTTAAATAATGATGGATTCAGAGACTATGTGAGGACTTTCTGTATATATTTATGCACTGGGTCTGGCTGTTAGTTTTCTTCACAGCAGCTCCTATGGTTCTGTTTTAGATCTGTGACCTAAATGATGCTGATAATGCATGAATGTTTAGCTTTTGCTGAATGGTGTTTGCACAGTGTCAAGGCCTTCTCTGTTTCTCATGCTGCCCTGCCAGCGAGCAGACAGGGGGTCCACAGGAAGCTGGGGTGTTAAGAAGCCGTGGGGTGTAGGTGATTGCCTCTGCATCATTTGCTTTGTTTTCTGTCTCTCTTTTTCCACTTCCATTTGCTTATTAAGCAATTTTATTCTGACCCACAAGTTTTCTTGCTTTTATTCTTCTTTTCCTCTTTCCTTGTCCCACTGGGCAGAGGGGGGAAGTGAACAAGTACCTGTGTGGTGCTTAGCTGCCTACCAGGGTTAATGCACCACAGCTTAATTATATCCTTCCAATCTTACCTCTTTAAAAGGCAAAATGCTGAAACTCTGGTAAAAAAGGTACACTAAGATGAAGCTGAAGTGCAAGGACTAGACTCTGGGGAAACATCAAGACTGCAAGTTTCATATTTCAAATAGGGATGTTGGATAGGAGAGACTAATCATGGACAATTCCTCTCTTTTCTTCATATTCCAAAAACTTAAAAAATAAAATAATGTAGAAATAAGAGCCCTTAAAGAGGATTTCATGGTATACTAACTTACATGCCATTATACCTTTTACTGTACCAAACAAAATCTAAACAGCAAAAAATAATACAACAAAAGAGTACAATTTCTAAGCATGTAAAAGGGAAATACAGCACTGAACTTAATAGTAAAGGCTGTCTCCATCACTCCAAGGAAAGTCAACTTCCCCAAAGCACTGCATTTCACCTCAAGATTTCACATGGCAGCAAAATCTCAATGCATTCTGAAGACACTGTTCATACTTTCACTACTGTTAATAAAAAGTATTAACAGATAATTCATTGTCCATTCTGGGTATTGCACCTAATGAACTAACATTCTGAGTGTCATTCAAAGCATGACCAAAAAAAAACAACAATTCCAAACAGACCTGCTAGGGAAATTAAATGCACTTTTTTGTAGCTGAAATTTTTCAAAATGCCAAGTCATCATTTGATTAAGCTGTCTTCATTAAGCTGTCTTCATGCCTATTACTGATCCAAGCCATCAGCAAGAATCTGTATCAGAAACACAGAAGCAGCAACAAAAAGCAGACACTTACAGCCAATATATTCTCCGGCTGACTGATATCTTCATTCTGGTAAAAGAATAAAAAAATAATTCAATATAAGAACAAAAGTTCAGCTCTGGACTTGAAAGCAAGTTTTCTAAGAAAATAGAAACAAACCCACCAGTTGCTAGAGAAACTTCCTCAGAAAAAGTTTTAAGTCACCTAATCTAGGAATGTATTAAGTATTGATCCACTCAGCCCATAGGACTCACCATACATAGCTAAAAGAAGGCAAATTAAGCTGACTATAAGCTACTTATTTTCTTGTAATGGCTTCTGAACCACTATGACGTTAAGTTTCCTGCTAAGACTTTTCATTAAAAGACATTTCCTTTCTCTTGCTTGAATTCCACATTTGAACAAAGTGGCATAGGAAGGGTGACAGAGAAAGGATCAAGAAGGTGGCTTCATAAAATACTGACCTGTGACCAAAAACGTATCCAGAACTCCCTAGATAAGGGTTCCAAGTATTGTGGTTGGGTCATATCAACGGCTGTGATAAAGCGCATGGCCCCAAGACTGCCTGGGATTAGTGGGGAGACACAAGAAACATACTGAAACAAGGCACAGGATCAGGAACAGATACAGACTGCGCAAATGCTACCCGAGAACAGTATGATCTTCTCTGTAATAGTCCCCAAACAGTGAAGCTTATGTTGATTCACAGTATCTTCCATGCTAATATAATTCACAACTGCATTCCTCCAGAAATTCCTTTTATGGTTAAAAATGCACAGACTTCATACTGCTCACAGATACAGGAAAAGGCTGTGGACAGGGAATTCACCTTCACTTTTACTGTTAGGGAGAACTTGAACCAGCAGTGCTATAGTTGAAACATACCAGCTAAGCAAAGTCTCTTACTTACTTGTACCAAGCACACGCTGGAAGACATCTCCTGACATTTGTACAGGCACTTGGTAGTATTTTGCCATCCTTTTTATATCCTTCAGCATGTATTCTGCACGCTTTGGCAACATCGCTGGGGGTTTGTTACCTTTCACGAAAAAGTTCTGTTGAGATTTTCAACTGTATTATATAACACTGGACAAGTTAGACCTCAGGCATACATGTGCCTAAGGAAGAGTATAATTTCATACTGGCTTACTGAAACATACACAGCTTTTCCAAAGATAATGCTAGGATTTAAACACGATTTATTTTGGTTTTGCACAGATCAACCCTTTAAGTTAGCAGAACCAGTTTTAATCCAAGGTGCAAACGTCCTAGCAGGGATGCTAAACAACTACTAGTGCACGTGTAAACAAATGTAGAGACTTGTTAATTTCATGATTTTTAAGTTGTAAGTCTCAGTGATTAATTTGTTCTAATAAGGCCACAAGTACTATTTTACGGCATACTTGGATCCTTATGCATACTACAAGCTGCGAGTGTTCCACAAATTAATTCTGGTTCGAACCCCAAAGAAAAATTTTAGCAAAACATTCCATATCCATTATTATTATTATCCTATTTAGAACTGACAAACTTTGTCATACACTGTATGTGCCACAAACAGTGGCTGTGTAGTTGCAACAGTATGAAATTCCTTGTGGCTAATTTCTCGGTCACTACCGAGCTCCACAATCCTATAGTTAATGTTATTAGTGCCAAAACTTAGTTTAAAGCTGGCTCTGTGGGCTCTGCACTCACTAAGAGCTTGCCCCTACTAGTGA